AACTGTGTGTCAAAGTCAGTGATGAACTCTCTGAGTTATCCACCTGCGCAAAATCCCCTGAGTCAGTTAAATCATTAACTCATTGGCTGCCAAAGACGTCTATAGACGTCAATTCAAATACAAACGTTGACTGCCAAAGACGTCTATAGACGTATTAATGAACCGTGACTTTGGGAACCAAGTTGTGGAGGAGGACTAAACGGACTCTCCATAGAACGTAAGGTTGATGTTTGGTGGTTTGAGTGAACTACTCAACCGGCAGAGGGAGGACACCGTTGAGCTACCGGCTAACAAAGTCGTCAGTGCTTTAGCGGGATTTTGCTAAATTAGCATCAAGCTAACAGCACGGCAAAAGAACTGAAGAACGGAACTGCAGATGGGGAGCAAGCTCCGGCAGTGACAGGATTTCAGTTTCTTCCTGGCAGATCTTTTTCCGCAGTCATCCCATCTTGGATCACCTGTCACTGTGTTGTGAACTCGTCGGACGACAGCTACACCCAGGCCTGCACCGGAGTCTAATCACCTTTTATTTTGAAAAGCAAAAAGGTTTGCCGGCTTTAGTTTAAGGTGTGTGGGCCCACACAGGTATAGTTTTGACATTTGTTTATAGATGTGGCACAGCCAATTATATTGCTGATTATTGAATGCTGGTTTGTGTAAATGAAAAGAATGCTATTTTCCTTTGATTTTCACATTGCTATAATCCTTCTGCATTTATCATAAATAGTTAAATTCTAAATTAATATAATCTGTTGTGATGTATTTTGTTACCTTAAAGGAGGAGTAGATTAATTCTGTGTTTGAACTATGCCGGAATTACATGAGTGAATGGTGAGTTTACAGCTAAATTCAAAATACAGCTTGTGTATAAGGGAAAAAAGGGAAAATCAAAACAAACTTTAAAACTGACTGTATCAGGGTTAAATATTATTGATAGTTTTATTTAGAAGAACCCAAAAGCCCTGCCCTCATCTTTATCATTACTGAGGGGAGCGCTACAGAGCTAAGGCTTGGAAACCAGTGTCAGTCCCAGAGCTGAAAATTTTCTTTGGACTCAGTTTTCTGACCGGCTATGTCAAAAAGCCAAACCTTGAACTGTACTGGTCTGTGGAAGAGATAGATGCCACACCCTATTTCAGCAAGACCATGTCAAGGAACAGATTCCAGATTATATGGAGGTTTCTTCATTACAACAATAACGCATCACAGGATGTGACTGAGGAAATTTACAAAGTCCGCCCAGTGTTAGATTACATTGTGGAAAGGTTTAATTAGATGTATCAACCAGGGGAAAACATTTGCATTGATGAGGGTATGATGCTGTGGCGGGGGCGCCTATCTTTCAGGGTGTACAACCCACAAAAGCCTGTGAAATATGGTATCAAATCCTACATACTGTGTGACTCTGCCACAGAGTACTGCTTTAATATGCAGCCTTATGCTGGGGAAGCTAGAACTCTGGTAAACATTGTGTTCTCTCTCCTTGATCGTCTCTCAGGTCATGGTTATACATTGTACATGGATAATTTCTGCAATTCTTTAGCACTTTGTGAGCGTTTACTGGGAGCACAAACCAATGTTTGTGGAACACTGAGAAAGAATAGGGGGGAACCTCAGGTCATCAGGGAGTTGGAAAAGACTGACCTGAGGATGGGGGGAAAAGTTGTGCGACACAATGAGAGGGTGATGGTAGTAGCGTGGCAGGACAAACGGTTGGTGAAGATGGTGACAACCTGCCACCAAGATAGGATGCAGAGGGTTGACGTGTGGCAGAAGGGACACAAAGACAAGGTTACTCAGTTCAAGCCAGAGTGTATTGTTGCATACAACTCTTTCATGAATGGAGTGGATAAGTTGGACCAAAATATTGCATACTTGTAACGATTCTGATTTGGACCCAAGAACACCCTGAGGCAGACGGTCAGTTAACAGGATTTATTCAGAGGAACAGCGGTAAATCCAAGGGAGTCCAAAAACAGTCCAGGGTCAAAACAAGGGAGGCAGTCCAAGGGAGCAGGCGGGGTCTCGAGGTCGGAAGCAGGCGGGGTCATACACGGGCAGGCAGTCAGGATCAGGCAAAGGTACAGGCGAGGGACAGGCAGGCTTCGAAGACAGGTAGACGGAAGGCAGGTCGGATATCAGGCAGACAGGATAATATTATGCTGGAAGTACTTACTCTAAGGCTCGATACGTTCTGGCACGGAGACTGGCATGAGCAGAGTATATATGGAGGTGGAAACAGGTGCAGGCGATGAGGGTGATAATGGAGTTAGGATGCTGAGCAGGTGTGCAGACGGGGTGGAGCCAGCTCCAGTGCCAGGAACGTTACAATACTACCCTTTCATCCGAAGGTCACTGAACTGGTCAAAGAAGTTTGTAGCCTAACTGTGCATGTTTAACACCTATGTCCTGTACCGAGCCAGAAGCCAGGGGAGATGTAAAACCCTCTTGGAGTTCATTCGCAGGGTAGTAAAGTCCTGGACAGCAAAGGGACATGTTGGGGGGTTGGATGAGGTGGAGGAGCAGGTAGAAGAGGAGGAATAGGAAGGTGCAGGTGTGGGAGTTGAGGGGGATAGGGATTTGCAGGAAGGCCGACATACTCCAAGAGCACCATATAACACTGACCCAGAGAGTAGGCGAGACGGAGACCTAGGCAGACACAAATTCGAACACTTGACTCCCACCAGCATAAAGTCTAGACCAGCGAGGAAGTGTAGGGTCTGCGCACGCAGGGGCAAGCGCAGCGAAACCAAAATGTGGTGCAAGTCCTGTTGTGTCCCCTTGCATGCAGGAGAGTGTTTTACAGATTACCACACTAAGATGAACTATTCTGTGTAGAGGTGATAATACACACATACACAAACACACACACACACACACACTAAAATCACTAAGCTATAGCTGCGACAGCATACATGTTTGTAAATGTACAATGTTTTGTCCTTTTGACAAAAATGTCAGAACTATTTACATAAATGTATTTGTGAATAAATTATTTTGTAATTTTAAACCATTTCTAGATGTTGTTTTGCCATTTTATAGAAGGATACAACTATTAAGATGTTTGAGGTGTCACTAAAGCCCCAAAAAATAGCATCAAAGACACTTCTCTGCTTGAACTGTATCTTTTCACAAAAATATTGTTTTCTCCATTTATTGGTCAAAAACAGGTGTTTTTGTTGAAACCAACCTATGTTCTACTGCTGATTACTAAAGAATGATTCCATTCCATTCCAGGTAGAAACAAAACATTTTTTCCTGATGAAAGAAGAGAGTCTAATCTTTCTTTTGGTGTGGTCGGTGTTTACAGAGTCATAGCACAAACTATTCTGTGGCTCTTGAAAAATCACTCAAAATGCTCAAAAAACTCTGGCAGTATGGGACTCTGTTCTGAAAATGGCTGGCAGTCAATGAGTTAAGTGAGAGCATATGTGACATCATCACTAAATGGTCCAACCCACAGTCACCAAAAACCAGCCAAGATGGTGGTCAAGTTTCACCCCCCAGCCCCACTCGATCGGCACAGAGTGCAGCAGGTGAAATAATGAACATCATCTTGGATAATTTGAAGAATTCAGAAGACGAACAACCTGCTGGATCCAATCAGACCGGAGCTCGACAGGCGTCTCATTTTAACATGACCCTGATTGTGGATAAAGTGAGGGATCTGATCGCACCTTCAGAACCCCTCAACGAAAGTGAGCCAAAGAAAATAACCATTTCCAAATTTGCACAAAGATGCTTCAATAAAATGAAGGAAGATCTGAAGAAGGTGTGCAAGAAAAACACAGAAAAATCAGTGGTAAACTTGCAGGACGCACCCTGGGACTTTGTGTTACCAGGAAGCATCCCAGAGGTT